GACAGCTCTATATATATATATATATATATATATATATATATATATATATAAGAAAAATGTTGGCGAAATAAATGGGATATACCTTGTATAAGGCCCAATCCACGGAATCAAAAAATGCACGTTCGTGATCCTGCATGCACGCACCCATTTCATTCCCATACATCAAATTCATAATATATATAAAATAAACAAATATGTATACGTATTTGTGTATATGTAACTTGTAAATGAGGGCCTTTTCTTAAGATGTGAAACTAAGGAGACAAATACAGTAAATAGGGTAAATTCTACGGGGGAAAACATCTCTTAGTAGAAAAACTGTAAATTGTCAATTTCTCCCAAATTTAAGAGTTGACCGTGTTGACCAATTTCCAACGAAGAAACGATGACATGATACGCCAAAACTATGACTGTACTGGCATGTCATCAACACGTCATGTATTTAGCTGCATCATTAATTTATGTAGTATTATGAAATTTTCTGTCAAAAATTCAGAGGATTTTTGTAGCATGTGTTTGATAGTAAAGAGTATTGGGGCTGTGAAAAAGTAAATAATAGTATCGATAATAAAAATAATAAATCCAGATAAAAAAAAAAGAATAGGAAGAAGAAGAATGTTATTAAAGATATATTTTCTATATATCAAGCAAATAGTTTATATTAATCTTTTACGATGTTTACAAATGTTATAAGAGATATTATATTATATATAAAATAAGTCGTGGTGAATCCGAGTGTTGACAATCATAACCAACACTACCCAATATTTGTGGCTCAGTGTCTGATCTTCAAAGTCCTGAATTCGATTTCATTGGCGGGAGAGATGCAATTTTTAGACCAAAATAGTCTATATATAAAAGTTGGTCTCGAAGCTATAGTGGATACAGTCGGATTGAAAGTATCGAAAGTGCGAAAACCATTCTGGTTATAAAAAAAACAATACTGTTTTTTTTATACCAAAATAAGATTAAAATACACAACAAAGAGATGTCTCAAACACAAACAAAAGAAACCCCAGAACCAAAAAGAAGTTCACGACTTGAACTAGAGGTCGAAACAGTGTTTGCCAACCACCAAAATGACAAAAAAGAGATATCTAACGTACTTGTTAGATCTCATAACTTGCTTCTTCTAGGGACAGGTCCCATCTCTTTGGCCTTAGCCCTAAGAATCTGCTTCTGTATTTTGCCGGTGGCCGTCTTCGGCAGCGGACCGAACACCACCGACTTCGGCACCCAATAAGCCGGCAGCTTCTCCCGACAGAACCTCATTATGTCTTCCCCCAACCTTTTCTCGTCCTCCTTCTCGTAACCACTCTTCACCGTCACGAACGCACAGGGCGACTCCTGCCACTGCTCGTCCGGTCGTGCCACCACCGATGCCTCCAGCACAGCCGGGTGATTGTACAATACGTTCTCCACCTCCACGCTGCTTATGTTCTCGCCTCCCGATATTATTATGTCCTTGGACCGACCCCTGATCTCGATATAGCTGTCCGGATGTTTCACAGCGAGATCGCCCGAGTGGAACCACCCTCCTGCGAATGTCTCTTCATTCGCTTTCGGGTTTTTCAGATACCCTTTCATCACCACGTTTCCCCTGAAAACGATCTCCCCGATAGTTTTACCATCAGCAGGGACGGGTTTACCAGTGTGGCAGTCGATGACATCGACCTTCTCAAGGCCGACACATCGAACACCCTGTCGTGCCTTAAGTCGTGCTTGTGTCTCGGACGGGAGGGAATCCCACTCTGGCTTCCAGGCACATATGGTGGAGGGGCCATAGGACTCGGAGAGGCCGTAGGTGTGGGCCACCCGGAAGCCCTTCTGGTTCATGGCGAAGAGGACAGATGGTGAAGGGGTGGAACCGGCGGTCATGACGTGGACAGTGTGAGGGAGAGGGAGAATGGTGTCCTCTGGTGGGGCGTTAACAATGGTGTTGAGAACCACAGGTGCAGCACAGAAATGGGTGACCTTGTATTTGGCTATGGCCGAATAAACACCCTTTGCCGTCACCTGAACCACAATTTGTTCTCTGTTACAGGGAAACAGTATGCATATGTGCAATTGGATATGGAAAAGAACTAAGAAGTAAGTACCTGACGGAGACATATGCTTGTTCCACAGAGAGCTGCGAGGGACCAAGTGAAGCACCAACCATTGCAATGAAACATAGGAAGTGTCCACAAATACACGGCACCTTCCCCCATGCCCCAAATGATAGGACTGCTCAGAGCCATCAGATACGCTCCACGATGGTGAAGCACAACTCCCTTCGGGCTAGCGGTTGTTCCAGAGGTGTAACCCAGAGCAATGCTCTGCCACTCGTCTGCAGGCGGCTTCCACTCATACTCGGGGTTACCACTTTCGAGAAAATTCTCGTACTCCATGGCCCCTTTTGCCAGAGCACGGTGGAGAGACTCGGAACCACAGATCTCGTCTGCCATGACTATCAGGAGAGGAGGCTTGAACCCTGGTCCTGCTTTCTCCTCCATGAGTTTCAGAGCTTCCTCTGCCAGAGTGAAGAACTCTTGATCAACCATCACGACTGCAGCTTGCGAGTGGCCTAGAAGAAACGCGATCGTTGGGGCATTCAGACGAATGTTGACACAGTTCAGCACGGCTCCGGACATAGGTACTCCGAAATGAGCTTCGTACATCGCAGGGGTGTTCGGAGCGATTATGGCCACCTGAAAAATGAGAAATACCGTTGTTTACAAAAGATTCATAACATGTACTGTACAGAACTAGCAGACAGATCCATGCACGTAAACATCACAATCTGATGTAATCTTCAATCCGAGCTTCAAAATGATTTTTGTTATCGGGTATCGATTCTTGATACACCTGCATACAGCTCTAGATGAACATGATTCATGTGACAGCAATCAAGCTGATTATCTCAAAAACCTTTCAATTCATTCATCGAGGATTGCCCAAAAGGCTTGGACTTTTTTAATAAGGGAAAAGGATTGGGGAATTTTGCTAAAAGATGTACACTCCATCGTTTTCAAAGCCTATTCAATTCAACCCAGGTGTACTTGTATTTGTAATTTCGAATCAAATCTGTTTCCAACGGGTTTTACATCAAAATGGCTAAATTTCTAGTTTCTTTCGCAAGGGTTTCTCTCAAATTTCCTTTTTCTTCACAATTTCTCTCCCGGTCGGTAAAACGATATTTACTGAAGAAAAAGGAGAGAATTAATTCAGGAGACAAGTAAAATATTAACAGATATAATTAAATTAGTAAAAAAAGGCGTCGTCAATAATTATGGAGCACCATCATTTTCTTTCAAAAACACACACACACACACACACACACACACACACACACACACACGCGCGCGCGCTCACAACCACACACACACACACACACACACACACACACACACACACACACACACGCGCGCGCGCTCTTAACTACCATGGAGAGATCATCACCGAAAACGACGTCGGATCAAAGTAAACCCCTCAGAACACTCAAAAACACGATTATTCAAAAATAGAGAGAGAGAGAGAGCGCGAAGGCGAAGATCACCGTGGAACCGGGGCCGATGGACCGATCGGCGAGAGCGGAGGCGAGTCGGCGACACCGATCGTAGGTCTGACGCCAGGTGTACTCTATGGATCCGTGAATCAGCGATTTCCTCGCCGGATGAACCGTCGCCGCCCTCTCCAGGAACCACAGCGGCGTCAACGCCGTGTAGTTCGCCGGAATCTTCGGCAACTCGTCGATGTCTCGCCACGTCATCGCTCCGCCGCCCTATCTCAACCTCTAACTTCTCTCTCTAGACGACTCTCCTCCTCTCGAGCACAGTAACGCAATGTAGGAGAGAGGGAGGGAGCGTGTGGAAATGGGGGTTTATAAGGGACCGAGATCGAAACATGACTGCC